CGGGGGCAGGAGGGCTCCGGCAGCGGGATCCTGCCTCCGAGCCGGGGGAAAACGCGCCGACGCCGGGGCCGGGCGAGGCCCGAAGGAGGAGCGGATCCTGCCCCCGGGCCCGGCCGGGCGGCCCAGGACACCAGCACAGGTAAAAGCCCCCCGGGGGGCCTGAGCGACTTGCCCCTCCCCATGCAGACCTTGCAAAGGGCTGCTCCTAGTATGCATGCACCCCCTTAGCAGGCGCAGGCCAGCCCCTGGGTGGGGGGGCAGGATGTGGGGGCCGCTGTCTGCAGAGCCCGAGCTCCAGGGAGTCACCCCAGGCATTGCAGGGGTGTGCCAGCTCTCCCCCCGCCTGCCAGGCAGCTGCAGGCCTCTCCCCTGCGGCCGCGCCAGCCCCTCCTGACTTTATCACCCGACCTGCTGTTTTCCTTAATGGGGCAGAGGGAGCTTCGCTTGCCTTTGTTGCGGGGTGGGGGAAGTTAGTTTCCAGCCCTAAGCCTGGCGGGGAAGCAGCAGACGGAGCGATGGGCAAACCCAGCATGGGGTGAAATGCACCTGGGTCCTGTATCTCCTGATCTTGTGCTTAAACAAAAAAAAAATTGTACTCTTTTGGGGGATGCTGCTTGTGCTTCCTAGATGCTGGCAGTTCACATGGCTGCCCCAGAGCCGTCCTTGCTCACGTGAAGAGGGCAAACGGTGCAGACTCATCTGTAGGGAAGGGCTAGCTTGGCCCAGTAGAGCAGGGGCCAGGTCAGTTTGGCTTTGAATGTGTCAGTCATGATGGCTTGTGCATTTTGGGGGTTTTTTTGGTTTTTTTGTTTGTTTTATGACTCAAGTGTCCTAAGCCAGGGGCACCCCAGGACTGGAAATATAAAGGGCCAAGGAGCTGCTTGCCTGCCCCGTCAAAGGTGAGCAGAACTGGGTCTAGACTTGAATCGATGAATGTATTTTTAAAGGACTCGCAAGGATTTGTGGCGTAGGGAAGTACCCAAAGAAAAAAAAGGAGTTGATCAACCCTCCTGGCTCTCTTCCTGCGGTGCCTTCTGGCTGCTGGTGCTGTTGTGTTGGCCTGTTTGCAGACTTCAGGTGTGAGCTTACGCGAAGCGTGCCGGTTTCCATGTCTGTGCTGTGCGTGCCACTGATGGCTTGTGGTGGCACACGTGAGGGCAGAGTCCCAAAGGCTTTTGCTGAGGTTTTTGCTCAAGAGTCTTGGGCTTGTGTGCTGTGACTTGCACAGTAACTCCATGGGCTCGAAATCTCCGATTTCCAGGCTTAGTTTGGACACTTCCATTAAAAAAAAAAAAAAAAAAAGACTGCATGTTCCCGAACAAAAAGCATTGCATATTGGCTAATGTCAACTAGTGAGACAAGACAGACTTTCGTGACTGTCTTCATGAACCATCCCTGACCTGCAGGCTGTTACTATGGTCAATCTAATTATGTGGAAAAAATGCCTCTGCAGACATACGTTATTGTTTTTGGAGAGGAAAAAAAACTGGAGATTAGCTTTCCATTTGCTACGAGGAAGTCCTCTTAAATTGCACAGTCTGCAAAAAAAAATAAAAAAAAATAAAATAAAAAAAGGAGTTCACACCAGCTAATCTGCCCATCAGATGAAATCGGAGACTTGTTTAACCTTGCTCCAACATTTGCATTAGTCAAAAAAATATATAAGCTGTATCTTGTAAAGGACTAACCGCATGGTTTTTATTTGTGTAATCGAAGGCAACACAAATATTCACAGGATGAAGCGCTTACCGTCGCGCGTATGGGTCCCAGCCGGCTCAGCGTTGGCATCAGCTAGCTAACAGGGACTCTGCGTTGCCGGAAATTCAGGGCAGGGTTTTGGGAACTGCCTGGTCGTAGGTTGATGCATTTTAATTTTGGGACACTGAGTTTAATTTCCAGTAGAGAAAGTCATTTGCTATTTTGATTTCCTTCCCACCGACACTTTGGTCAGCCTAAGAGCGCCTGTTTCTTGATTTCATCTCTTTGTAGGAAGAGAGACTTTGACTAGGAGCCTGGGAAGGGCGTTGGGGCGGGGGGGAAAGGAGCTGATCCGAGTATTTTTATTCTTTTTTGGTTTGGCCAGTTGTTCCCGGGTGTCTGCTAAAAATTGCCCGAACTGGGCTTGGAAATGAGCCCTGCCTGCAGTTGAACGGGCCCAGGCCTTTCTCTTGAGCCCGACCTTGTGCTTCCCTGCGAGTCTCTGGAGTTTTGCTCCTGCGCACGTGGAAGAGGCTGCGCGAGGCAGGGAGCTGGGCGTCGTCATCCCCATCGCGCCGCGGCCAGGCTGCGATCCCTGCCCGTCTCGTAGGGTAGGTTGGGAGGCAGGCGGCTGTTGCCCCAGGAGCGCTGAGGCTGAGCGTGGTCGCCCTGCATGTTCTTCCTAGGTCTTTGGACCCTTTTCAGAAGGTCTCCTGCTCCGGGTTTGGGCCTGCAGCAACTTTCGGGATACAAAATGGCTGCTGTGCAGCTGTTCTGGATACGGAGCACGTAGACTAATGACCGCCGAAGCCCACGGGTTCGGAGCAGGCACTGAACAGCCTTTGACACCCTAATCCCAGTCGGCTGCTGTTCCCTGCGACACCCTCCCCCCCCTCCCCTGAAATGGGGGCAGACGAACAAGCCCTTTGCGACGCGGTGCGAGGGGCCGCATAGTTGCATGGGGTGACCTGCTTGCTGAGGGGGTGCTGAGCGCCCTCAGTCCCTGCCTAACTTCCACGGGAGTCCCCGGAGCTCGGCAGCCTTCAGGATCGATGCTGTGAGCGCGCCGCTCTCTATAGCCCAGGCCTGGCTTTTGGCCCTTGGCGGCTGGCGCGCTGTCAGCCAGAAGACGACATCCATGCTTCGGTGCTCGCATCTTCAGGGCTCCGCGTTTTGGGAACGAGACCTGCTGGAAGGGATCTGCCAGCCCGCAAGATCTTCCCGCAAATCAGCCTCCCGTCTGTGCAGCTCCAGCTCCCCGCGCCCCTTCCTCGGCCTCGGAGCCGAGGGTATTGAAAGTGAAAGAACTTTGCAGTTCTCCTTCGCGTCGTACCGGATTTGCTGTTTCTGTCCCATTTACTAAACAATCGTTCGACTGTTTTGGAGACCGCAACTCCCCGCCGGTCCTTTTCGCTCCGCTCCCGTTTAATTTTGCTTTGCGTTAGCAACCTGCCGTTGTGCCTGGGGTTTCCACTGATTTCAATGCTGCGTTGTAACAACATAAAACCTCACATTGCTGCTGCATTTCATATCCCTTTGAATCCACGGAGCTGAAGTCTCCCAGCAATTCTCGATAATCTCAGAGTCACATAGTCGCCGACTGCTTTTTTAGGGCTGCGGCTGAGAGCTGGCTCGGTCGCACTTAGCTTTACTCACCTGAGTAACCCCAGTCTAAGGCCCAGTCCTATAAACACGCAAGGAAGTTCACTCATGCGGATAGTCCCTGTGGAGTTGGACTACTTGTGTCTGCCAGTTTTTTTTCATCCAGCTGAGTAACTTTACAAAGATTTGCTTTATACAGGAGCCCAACTGACTTCAATGCATCGGGGCTACTCATGTGAGTAAAGTCTCAGAGGGTTAATTAAAGTAGGCGTACTCCAGATCTGCATCCAAATGAAATATATGCATTCCCCACCCCCCCATATATATATATATATTTTTTTTTACTAGAAAGAATAGTCCGGATGAATTTAAAACATTTTAAATAATCCTGTCAGACATCTTCCAAATGAGAGATTTGCTTTG